TAAAAAAAAGGGGCAACGGCCAATGATGTGCCATTTCCGTTTTTATTGGGTCCTTTTTCTCCACACCTTCGCCTCTCGCTCCGCGGCCGGAGCCGCGGAGGGCCCCCTTGTTTAGGGTAAAAGAGTGGAAAGCTCTACCTCGTTGTTTTGTTATCAGTAAATCACGTTTGCATTAAGACAGAGGGTTTAGGGTTTAGGGCTTAGACAGAAACAACGCAAATTATGTTATAGAGTTATAGAGACTTCAAAGGGCTCATAAGTGTTCCAGAAAGCTCTTGCATAATCATATCTAGCCGACAGCTTCATAGCTGAGAGGAGCAGATCTGGGATCAGACAGATTGGCAGGCAGAGTTAGTACAGGCCAGATTAGGCAGGGGTGAGAGGGGGTATATCCTTCCTCAGGGAAGTAATCAATGCCGTCCTCTCGGGCCTCTCAGCCATAATGGGGAGGAGCGTGGGCGAGTCTTTTATGTATTCCATTTTGACTTGCCGGGGGAATAGGAACCGGACTGTCGCTCCCCAGAATGGTAGGAGCCAGAACCGTGAGGTTCTGTTATTTAAAAAAAAAAAAAAAAAAGAACTTGAAAGAAGGCGATCTGCAGAGGAACCAATTAAATCATTGATATGCTAGGCCACCTGGGCAGCCCGGCCGTGCAGCCTGGGCCTGGCGTCCGGGCGAGTCGCCTGGGGAGAGGCGGACATCAGGGGTACCCGGGCAAGGTAATAAGTGGGGACAAACTTTCTAGACTACATGGCTCGCCTAGCCGTGCATCCCGGGCAATTTGCCTGGGGGTCACCTGCAAGGGGCACCCCATGCAGTCAAAATCAGCCCTTTTTCGTTGTTTCCTTTGTTGTTTTGGGTGGGGGTTTTCTGCGCATGCCCGGAGGAGCAAAAATTACGGCTCTTTTCGAGTGTTGCCTGTTAAAGGGGGGAGGGGAAGGGGGGTGGAAATTGGTTCCCCAGGGACTACAGGGGTCTAGAGGGGGGTGCTTTAGTCTGATTCTGTTATTTTATCTCCGAATCTGTGAGGTATTCTGGTATGACCCTCGGCCAAAGGTCGTTATGAAGGGGGGTGGAAATTGGTTCCCGAGGAGCTAAAGGGGTCTAGAGGGGGGTGCCTTAGTCTGATTCTGTTATTATTTTCGTTTTTTAATCTCCGGATCTGAGAGATATTCTGGTATGACCCTCGGCCAAAGGTCGTTTATATTGCAATTCTACACAACATTTTTTTTTTCTGGAATTTTCACTTTTTTTTTTGGGCCAACGGCTCCTGGGTCACACCTAGCGTTTGGAATAGGCAACTTCAGCAGTTGTCGAAACTGGGCGCAAAAAAAGCCGCTGCTAAATCTGCATTCCTGCCACTTCAAAACGAGGACCATAGTTTCAACCCCCCGCTAAACTTGCTCATTCTGAAACTCAAATGATGACATTGGCGCCACTTTCTCTTTTCTTGCCTATTTCAAACTAAAAAGGTGACTCAGGAGCAGTTTCCCCTTTTTTGTTTTTTTTCTGCACTGGGACTGCTGAGAACCCTGCCGGCCACCGGGGCATGTGTGCGGGCAGAAGTAGGGTGCCCTGGCGCCCAGCAAAACAGCCTAGCAAGTTGGTTTTTTATTTTTTTCTTTCTGGTGGTGGTTTTCCGTGCACGCCCAAAGGAGCCCAAATCTGGGCTCTTTTCTTTTTTTGAGTGTTGAATGTAAAGGGGGGGAAGGGGGGTATAAATTAGTTTTTAGGGGGCTAAAGGGGTTTAAAGGGGGGTGCTTTAGTCTGATTCTGTTGTTTTTTCAACTTTTTTGTTTTTTTTTAATCTTCGATTCGGTGAGGATTCTTATGTGACCCTCAGCCAAAAGTCGCGTGCATTGGAATTCCTCACAACATATCTTTTCCTCTGTGTGTTTTTTTTTTTTTTTTTTTTTCCCCTGTGGCTGCTGTGATCCCTGACCGGGGGTCATGCCCCACCGGGCCCCCAGGCGTCCATCCGGGCACAAGTTGGGTGCCCGGTCGCGTGCAAAAACAGCCGAGTATGTTTTTGTAAAAAAGAACAGAAAAGATGCAATGGCCATGGTGATGCACCACACGACTCTCGAAATCAAACCTGCTGCGTGCAGACCAGTCCATCAGTCCCTGCTGTGTACGGTGGCCACACCTTTGTACAGACAGACTATCTGTTGGTACTACTTGGTAGTTTATTTCTCAGTTACATCAACTTACATGCGACCGGGAGCGACGCGTCGCTTTGCCATTGACATGGGCCGGTTCGTGAGTTGGTGTCGCCTTGTCGGCGCGGATCCCTGCGAAGGAATATCGAGGAGTTGATGTGGGCAACAGGGGTTACGGCGGCAGGCAATGGCGCGAGGTTCCGTTGGTGTTTGTTTGGCGTGGCCATCGACATGATGCTTCGGCTGAGGGTTCTTCCAGCCTTGATAACCTAGGCTGAAGAGGTCTCTTGCTCCGTGCTTCGTTTATGTGGTGTCACGGGTTGACACGCTAGAGGAAGGGGAGGCTGTCGTGGTGACTAGGATAGTCTTCATGAGATCTTGGGCATGGTAGTGGCCCTGCTCCTGTGCTCCTGCGCGAATCTAGTGGAGGTTGGTTGGGCAGCGTAGGCAGGAGCATCTTCTCATGTGGAGTGGAAGGAGGGAGGCTTGTTATAACCTGGAGCGTCAAAAAGAGCTGGCGGTTTCAAGCGTTCGTTTGAGCTGGTTCACCGGTTAAAGACACGGAAGCAGGTAGCGGCACAGTAATGACAGCGGCGATGGAGCGGGAGAATTTCGTACGAACATGTGTTGCGCTGCTTCGCTCTTCGCATCGGCCTGGCTTTTCAAATTGATTTCACTGATTTTAATTTTGCATCTTCTAATTTCCTGGATTCTTGCCCTAATCTAGTGCTTACACAGTTATCTCCTATTTTCTGATCAGCCAAATTCTCATCTACATGCACACCCATACACACAAACATATATTTACCGGGCAGTTCTATTTGACGATATATATATAACTACATATACTACTGGTCACTAAGCATTTGAAACGTTATGGAAGCCCTGATAGGTTATTATCTATTCTCAATCGCTAGCACAATTCGTAGGGATCTGTTATGTAATTACCTATCCTTGAAAATTTTCGACTATAATTTCTAAAAGTCCCAAGTGAAGTTCTATCATGATTTTCTAATCTTGGAACCCGAAAACTTCGGAATTCTATTATTATAGCCATATAAATTTTGAAGACCCTTTTCGATAATTAGTTTTTGCTTCTTTTAAATTAGTGATACGTGTACGTGGTGGGAGCTGCCAAACGTTGATTGGCGCAAGGGGCAGGGGAATAATTGCAACTGTCTTACTGCTGCCCTGCGCTTTCTTCAGCGGGTTGTTCAGCGGGTTGTTCTTAAAGATGTAGGGTGTTTTCGGGGGTTATTGCATATTTTTCAGAGGCCCTGCTTTTCCAAATTGCGATTTGCATGAAGTGATTCGACATTTTGGTAAGTGTGTCATCAATAACTGTAGTCGGCTGGATCAGATCGTTCCCGGAGGGCTGAACGGTAAGAAGGGGGAGGGGGGAGCATCTTGCAGGGGCATCACAAGGTGGGGGGTGAATGTCTCAAAGAGGGTAGGGGCGGAGTAGGGGGTTGCCCTATTCTGGGGCAGGGGCTGGTGTGTGGGTCAACATCAGTCCCAGCGGAGGCAGAAATGGGCAAGGGGCCGGGGCCCGGGGCGGCATGCTTTAGGTGGGAACTGCGTGCCCCTGGGGGAAGTGGGGCAGAGGGTTGGTCCTATACTGGGGCCGGGTGAGAGTGGGAAGCTCGCCCCGGCGGAGGCAGTGTAGGGCTGAGGGGGGAGGGGTACGGGGAGGGAGGGGTGATCTCTCACAAAGAATCCTAACATGCAGTTTAGTATTTTTTCCCATTGGGTTTGCCTCTCGAGGAGGTTGTAGGAATAGGTGCTATCTGGCAATTCATCTATGATCCTGCGAAGGGTGGTCTAAAATTTGGTGGCCCTCGAAGACCGATGCTGGAGCAACGCTGGCTGGAGCCGGAGCCAGGTGGCGCAACTCTGTGACCTAACTTAGTGGGGGCGTGAGGCCTGCTAGAGAGATCTGGGGGGCTGTTTGCGGGGGGCAGTCACAGTGATCATTGGGGGTCGTAACTGGAGCAATGCTGGCCGGTGCTGGAGCAAGCTGGTGCAACTCTGTAACCTAACCTGATGGGAGCATGAGGCCTGGAAGAGATTCGGTTCGTGCCGAAAACAGCCATGCTGGTGGTAGTCGTAGGTGGATTGAATAGGTTTCACGTATCTGATTCGTGGTTGGGAGGCTTTTTGACACACATATTACAGTGACTTGGTAGAGTTTGAGTAGTGGACCATGAATGCTTCTGAGTTCTTCCTTTTTTCTTCAATTGTTCTTAGCCGAAGCTGGGTAATGGCCCCGGCAGCTCATTTTTTGTATTCTGATAAGGGACGCTTGAGCCCGGTTCCCAGCCGTGTTGCTCCCCACCAATAGATTGGAGCATTGTCTCAAAAAAAAAAAAAAAAGAAACATGGTGGTTTTTACTCTGTAGTATCTACCATCCAGCCAACACTGTAGTGGGTAGGTGACTACTCTCGCCTTCGGGTTATTGCAGTGGCGTTGCTGTTTTTTTTTTTTTGTTGAATGAACTTTATTCTTATTGTTGGCAGTTGTTGCTGTTTTTTTTTTTTTGCGGTGCTCTGGTGCAGGTTAGGTACAGTGGGTGCACAACCGGCAAGGGTCATCAGATGGGTGAGACCATTCTGTGAAGTTCTGTCCACATTCTTGCTCAAGCACGGACACACACATTAGCACAGAGCCTGCCGTAAACAGACACCCAAAAGAAATTAGAATTACATCAGAAGGGGCGAGAGCCTTCTGAGGATGCTCGAAAGACCGTCACACAATGCAGAGTTTGCGACCCAGCTGTGACAATGAAAGCCAAGGAATGCACAGCAGGTGCGTGAAAGACAGTCACACAATGCAGAGTTTGCGATCCAGGTGTGACAATGAAAGCCACGGAATGCACGGCAGGTGCGTGTACACGCACGTGCGGTGGAAGGTGTTCAGTACTGAGAAATAGAAAATATATAGTGGTACATGTTACACTAGAAATCTGGTATCCGGCGCTACTCACAGGTTAGTCTCACTTGCTTTTTTTGCTCTTGGTTCTAGTACTGATGTATCATATTTATTATAGCCAACTTCAACAAAAATATCGTCTCAATTCTTTTGTGATCTATCCGGTAGAAAAAATTGAAACTCACTCTTAGACTCCATTTCAGTTAGGCATGCTGCTCCACAGTCTAGGTTGTGAAAGGTCATCCCAGATGTTGTCGTAGCAGGGGGCATGGAGGGGGGAAAGGTGTGTGTGTGTGTGTGTGTGTGTGTGTGTGTGTGTGTGTGTGGAGGGGAGTGTGTGTGTGTGTGTGTGGAGGTGTGTGTGTGTGTGTGTGTGTGTGTGTGTGTGTGTGTCACAGAAGAAATTTAGAAATTCTTAACCGCAAAGCATAGTGAGACACACCCAACCCCATACTCCGCTAGCCCTTCTCTCCCTTCCATCCCCACTCCTCTCCTGGCCCCCTCCCCATCTTCCAGCGGGATCCCCTTTCTGTACCCCCTGCCTCACCCCCCTTTCTTGCCCTTTCCACCATCACAGGAGGGACCAGCCTGCGAAAAATACGAAAGAAAAACAAAGGCTTAACCAGGATGTCTGGCCGTGGTACGTGGTCGCGTTAACTGAGAATGATGTACCTGTGTTATGATCCTGGTTGTTTGTTGTCAGATGACCAACACTCGCTCACATAGACTTCCAAGTATGCCCATACATACACAGAAGGAAGGGGAGTCGATGGGAGTATCACACCGCACAGGGAGAGATAAACACAGCGAAGACTTGACCATGCCATATGACAGTTAACACTGAAAGTGCAATTCGCTCCACAGAATCCTCACAACCAGTCACAAAGGAAAGCCGAGTAGATCACATCCAGGAAACAATGAAGCAATGATAGTTCACACACAGTATTTACACTGTTTATCAAACTCAGAGCCTCGATTTGTCAGAATAACCCCATAACCATGGTGCGCTGCTCAGAAGTGAGCAGCGCTTCACTCCCCAACCCTGAGTAACGGCTATAACTAACCCCGAGTCCCTGAATCATCAAGCGCCACCCAAATACAGCCTCCAGAGGGAAGCGCCACCCTGAAACAGGCGTCTGAGGCCAAGCGCCTCTCAGAGGATGAAGAAGACGACCAGCGCCACACTGCCAGATGAAGATGAAGTGCCGATGGACTTCCCGGATGGAAGTCTGTAGCAGCACCGCCACTCCTGACAACGATGATCTCTGAGGAAGACAGGCTGCAGCTATGGCTGCAGTGCCACACACTCTGACACCCTACTCCTGAGGAGGGTTCAGCAGGGCACCAACTTCTCTCGCCTCCAGCAGACTCCAGATAGCTCAGACCTCCGAACAGCCCCGTGTGCTGTCAGAGTCCAGCGTCGGTCCCAGCTATGGCCGACACTCCGCAGGTCCAGCTGTGTCCATCTTCTCCAACGCTGAAGCTGTCACCACTTCCAGTTTCTGCGTTGCGCAGCAGCGATGCACACGGTACCAACTGCCAATCTATCTATACTCTACACTAGCCTAGGCACGACCTAGACCGGACTGGTAGGACTGACCAGTACCATTTTTCAATTTCGGCCTCTAGGGCCTCTCCCTACCCGGCTATAGGCTATAAGACCGTCTATCAGGGTAGGCCTTTAGGGCCTGTCTGTCCTAGGGGCAGCCCGGGCCTGCTATTCGCAGTTAGGGTAGCTGTAGGGAATTCAGTTAGTGTGGGGCTATAATTTTCCCAAATTTGCAGATATGTCCCTCACAAATTTCCTCACAGTCAGCTGTCTCGGTTAGCCCTCAGCCAAACGAAAATTATGAATCTAACCTACCTACGGTACAGCCTCGACTCGACGGGCTACGGGCCACCAAAACCAGCAAGTCATTGCACCTGTCTGGAATCATGTTCAGATACAGAAATGCTGTTTGAACCTAGGCTACCCGCCGGGCCGCCCGGGTCACCCTGTTTTCCTGAGTTGCCCGGCCGTGCAAGGACCAGGGACGGTCCCAGCAAAAAAAAAAAAAAAAAAAAAAAAAAAAAAAAAAAAAAAAAACACTCCAACAGATCCGAAAAACTTCACACATATCTAAATTTTCAGGGAATTTAGCTATTCCAAAAAAAAATGAAAAATCGCCAAAGATGGCGGTGTCGAAAACGTGTTTGTGAACTCACTGAATTTAATTTTTTATTTTTATTTTTTAGTATTTGTTTTTCGTAATTTATTTTTATTTCAAATTTGGCAAGGAATTTGGATGTAATGCACAGGCAAATCTTGTTTAGTTTATTTTTCTTCATAGCATATCTTTTTTTCAGATTTTTTTGATTTTGTTTTCTTTTTTTTTGGGGGGGAGGGGGGGTCCGCGTTCGGCCCGAACGGCGGAACGCATCCCCAAGGGGTCCCATACGTTCGGGCGTTCGGGTTCGGGTGTTCGGCCCGTCCCGAACGCCGGTTACCCTGTATATTCAGCCTCCTGATGAGTCTGTGAAACTCCGACGAAACAGTTTGTCACAGCCCCTCGTTTGTTGTCCTCTTCTCCCTCTCTGCCTACGGTTTACCGGGCAGTTCTATTTGTGACGATATATTACATTTTTCTGTTTTTTGGCCCGGCCTGGCAAGTGGTTCCCACTCCCGGGCTACTCAGGTACCCTGGGTTTGACGTGCAACCCCCTCGGCAGATGCCATGAAGATGCCATGATGTTTCAAACATTCCTCATTTTTTTTGGGGGGGTGGAAAACAAAAAGGAAAAGAAAAAGGAGAAGGGGATTCTTATATGTTATCTTGTCCAGATGCTCTGCATGTGTCTGTTGCTGCCATTGTGTGTGGATGGGGGGAGGGGGGCAGGATGGGGGAAGATGGTGGAAATGATGGAGATGATGATGGAGATGATGATGGAGATGATGATGGAGATGATGACGGAGATGATGATGCAGACTTGAGCGCACGCAAAAATGATGGAAGTCGAGTGCGCTATACTATTTTCGTGAAGGTTTTCTGAGGATGACTATACTATTTTCCGGTGGCTTACGCTATAGCGGCTATACTACCACCACATAGGAGGAGCACCTTTTTCTCAAACTGGGGACCACAGTAGGCCCAGATTTTCCCCTCTTCGACTGCCAGTAAGCGATACTGTACCGGGCCTGATCGGGGTCAGCAGGGTTTTGAGGTCCCGACACAAGCAACAGTCGAATTTGCCAGTGATGCTAGAGGAATTGCAGTCAGGGCATACTCACACTAGGATTTGCTTTTACTTATTTTCTGGACGTAACTGCAGCCAGATGCATCCAGGTCAGGCTGTGAATGCGGTCAGATACATTTCAGATAAGAGTTAATGATGCGAGTAGTGAAGGACGCCCTTGAACCTGGAAAATGAGAGTGTAGGAATTTTGACTCTTTTCTTTCTTTATTTATTTATTTCTTTCTTTCCAATAGATAAAACAGCCTGGTGGCCAAGACCTCAATCCCGGCGGTTCTCTTACCACCGCCAGGATAGCGGACTTGGGAAAGGGCTTTCACACACACACACACACACACACACACACACACACAGGAAAAAAAAAAAAAAAAAAAAAAAAAAAACAGTGTCTGCCTCTGTGAGTTAGTGTCCATGGGTGTGTACCTTCTCTTCTTACCCGAGAGTATCAAAAAATAATAATAATAATAATAATAAATTAATAATTTTTAAAAAAGTACGGGTGGTCCCCAATGCTTCCTCTTTAGACTTTGGCTTCCTTGTTTTCTAGGGTATATTGTCTCTCTCTGGATTTTTATCACAGTTGTCTGAGAGGATAGCCTCCTTCCAAACGTCCTCTTCTCCCTCTCGGGCTTCACAACCTAAAACAAGCTTGACATCATGTTTTGATGGGGATCATAGGGTTGGGTTGAGTGTAGCACTAAGCTCCGTGCTGATTTCTGTTTGGCCAGTATTTCGATTCCACCTGAAGTGCTCTTGTTTAAGGTTTTCAAGTTGGATGGATGATTTCTGAGCCCCGGGTTGTTAGTTGCTTCGTGACGTAGTCCAAACTATGTTGGGCATGTATTTTTTTCTCTCTAATGGGATCTGTAGAGGATGGGAAACATTGTTCAAAGTCTTATATCTGATTTTAGTGTAACGCATGTGTGACCCAACAGCGCTGTTAAACGGCCAGTACCTTTCCCAACTATCGATGCCGACCCTCAAATCGGCCTGTGCGCCAAAGAAAAATGAACTGGCGCAGGCCTCCTTTGGGCTGGCGGCGGCAGCCATTCGGGTACTGCTGGGTACCCTGACCCTAAAACAATGGGGCTGTTAACGAGCCACATATCTGTTTTTCGAGTGGGGGAAAGGTATTGGTTTTTTAAAGATAGCAATACAAAGGTTTGAAAATTTGGGGGGGATGCATTCTTCTCTAATTGCGAGGGCCATAATCATGGCAAGCAGTAATGCCAACCCTTTTTTTTTTTTTTTAAACGCTCCATCTATTGGTGGGGAGCAACACCTGCTGTAAACCGGGTCCACCGTCCCTAGAGTACATGAATGATATGAATGAACCATAGAGTTGGGCTGAGATGTGCCTCTTCATCCCATTAGGGCGCCAGATCAAAACAACATCATTGTAGTACTATTCCCTTCTTATCTATCAATCCTTAATAACAGGAAATATAGGAATACCATATTTTCCACCCTTTTAGCTAGGTACACTTTGTCAAGTCATTCAACTAGTCTCAGCTTCATTCATACCCAAACCAAGCCCTTGACCAGACTTAGTGCCGAGCGGGGAAAGGGGTCTGGGAAAAATCCGATAATGGTCGTAAAGGGATTGTTGGGTTGATCATAGTCCAATCATTAAAAGCAAGTCTATAGTCCCGACTCAAATCCTCCTTTTCACCTCCCCTTGCCCCTTCCTATTTAACCTTCCCCATCTTCCCCCCATGGGTTCCTCCTAGCCAGCATTGGTTGAATCGTTGAATGTGTTGAAGGATTTCTTTCCGCCAGGATATAAATTGTGTTTTTTCCTTACACTGTTTCCATTTTATAATGATATCAGTTTGTATTTGTTGCTTAATTGTGTCAGTGAATTCTGGTCCATCTCGCCTACCTCCTTTCATTTCATACGTACATCTTCTTAACCATATTGCCCATAATACCGCTCTCCTCCCCATGCTGTACAAATTTTATGAGAATTCATCAATAAATTCAGGGGACCAGGTTTCAAGAAGAAGGGCTCTGGACTTCTGTTTCCAATTTAGACCAAATACGGTCCCACCACCTCCATAACCAAATTGCCTCAAACTAACATTTCGTTAAAACTGACATTTTTTTTTTTAACTCACGGAATTGAGCGTATAACAACATTTTGTAGAGTTTTTTTCGTTGACGTCGGATGATCAGATCATCGGGTGTCGTGGTGACTCCCGATGATCTGACCATCGGATGCATATTAATGGTACTTTACGTTGAGGTACATCAGATAGATAGAGTGAGATAACCACTTTCTCACCCGGTGAGCAGTGAAATTTTGACTAAGTCCACTTTCATGAATTTAGAAAAAAATGTCAGTTTTTACGAAATGTCATGTCCCAGGATATTGGAGGAATACATGCTCAATCGTTTC